CATATTTTGGCTTATTTCGTCCCTGAACATATCTTGAAAGTGTACAAACCCTTCAGAGACATCCTGTAAATACATAGAGCACATATAGATATAAACACATATAATTAACGTTCTACGAACAACAAATATTTTTAACAGATAAATTTATGTTGAAAATTTTAATCATATGATGCCCCCTTTGATCATAGCCATTTTTTTTTTTTTTTTGTTTTGTATCTCACTCGGGACACGCGTCGTCAACCTAACCGGAGCAGTTCTTGAGGTTATATAACGCAAGGCTGGGGTAGAGGGCGCCTTTTTTTTTTTTTTTTTTTTTAACCTTACTCGCATCTGCGAGCCCAGTAAGTTTTTAAATAATTCTGTTCAATTTCTTGATAAAGTTGAATATAACACCAAATTTCTTCCAATCTTTTTTCTTCAGGATGTCTGTAACGCTTTCCACTCCGTCGATATTCCTACTACTTAAGATGTCTCCCATTCTCATTCTCTCTTCGTCGTATCGATGACATCGCCAAATCACGTGATCGATATTCTCATATTCGTAGCCACAATCACATCTTGTGTCATTTATATAGTTTTTCCTTGCTAACGATGCATTTAAATTATAATGATTCGCTCTTATTCTATTTACAAAGGTTACAAAATATCTTTCCTCGTTAAAATGTTCAAATCACGGTATTTTACTGTTCCTATCATAAAAGTTAGAAAAATAGTACTTTCCTTTCAATTTAGAATCTCTAATAACATATTCTTGTGTTCTTATCCACGCTTCATTTTTATATATATTTCTTAAATCTCTAATAGGAATATCAAATTCAACATTTGCCGGTTCTTGGGTACCTGCTTTTGCTAGGAAATCTGCAATTTCATTTCCCGAGATTCCATAATGAGATGGAATCCATACAAACAATATATTCTTAAAATAAAGATCTTTAAATCGACTATATAGCCTTCTTATTTCAAGAACATACTTATTTTTGTATACATTAATATTATTTTGAGAGATAGCTTGAAGAACGGACTTCGAGTCAAAAAATATAACTACATTATTGAAGGAATTCCTTCTACTTTCTGCAATCTTTAGAGCTGTAGAAATTGCTATTGCCTCTACCGTAAATATTGTGCATTCCTTAGGTAAACTAATATAATAACCCTCGTCTTGCTCTTCAATGGCTATACCAGCACCTGTTGATTGAACCGTTATGTCTTTAGAACCGTCAGTATACATAATAAAAGTTTTATTATCTAACTTATATCTCTGTTTAATTTCGTTAATCATTTTAATATCTAAAGTCCTATATCCTTTTATTTGACTAATATCACAGTCACTTTTTTTTCCTTTTTTTTTAATGATCTTGCCGATTTCAAAATCTATATTTATCGCATTAGTCAGGGAGCTATATTCCATGTTCCATATTTCAAAAGTGTGTTCTTGGGCACCTAGTCTGTTGCTAAAACGACGCGTATACTCCCATGCTTCGCCAATAGTACTCTTATTAAAACTTGGATTTCTATATCTTGCAAACATCTCTTTGTTTAGAAGGTTATTAAGACTATTTCTAAGTGTATTTTCTCCATATTTAATATTTTGCTACAAAAATTTTTAGCTAACATCAAAGCTCTATCTTTTAATAAAATCACCTTGGACTCTGCAATCAACACATTATTTGGCGTGCTATTTCTATATCCTAAAGCTGTACGAATTCCCAAAATTGGCCCCTTTCTAATTTAAGTTGAACAGATTTTGAAGTTGGACTATATACAAACAAACCGTAATCCATAACTGATCTTACTATACTTTTATATAGAATCAAGCAGTATTCACTTCTACGCCTCTAGTTATATTACTAAGGTATTTCATAATATTATTAGCTCTACTAACTTTGCCTCTAATATCACTAACTTGTTTATCAAAATCCAGCTTATTATCTAACCAGATTCCTAGAAATCTAGCTCCCTGATTATTAAAAATTCTTGTTTTCTTGACATTAATAGAAAGCCTTTTATCACAGAATCCCTTTTTAGAAAATTCCACCAGATTTGTTTTATGTGGTGCTAAGTCTAGTTTTAGAATTTCTAAATTCTTCGCTATTCTATTAACTGCTACCTCTAAGTTTATTTTATTTCCAAATCTGTTAGAACTTTGTACATATACCGCGATATCGTCCGCAAATTGTACTATTTGGACTGAATTTTCCAATCTGGAAGTCAATTTATTTGTGTATAACGCATATAGAATAGGGCTAAGAACTGCTCCCTGTGGCAAACCTTTGTTAACTTTTCTAATTTCTACTCTTTGGTTATTAATCACAAAAGATGTATCACGAGGTTCTAACCATCTATTAATAAAATTATAAATACCCGTTGGACACTTTTCCCCTCTTAATTTCTCTATTAATATATCAAAGTCTACATTATCGTACGCCGCTGAGACGTCCAAGAAAGCCGCTAAGGTGTAATTGTCTGCCAGATTCGTTCCACGAACATCCGATACTAACTTTACTAAATTTTCCATACATGATCTCCCCCTACGGAATCCATTGCATTGATGATAACTTTTTTTTCTTTTTCTTGCCACCAAATAAGTCTTTCGTTTATCAATCTTTCCATTAATTTTCCTACACATGAAGAAAGTGCAATAGGTCTAACTTTTTCTTTTCCTATTTTATCAATAAACAAAATCTGATAGTTTCTCCACTCCGACGGAAACCAATCCCTCATCCAAATTTCATTGAACAACTTTAGAAGTAGTTGTTTGCCAGTTTTCGGTAGGTTTTTTAGCATTATATAATGTATTCCGTCTAACCCTGGAGCTGAGTTTCTTTTAATCATCCGTAGGGCACGGGAGAGCTCTTCCATAGAAAATATCCTATTCAACTCCTCTCTATCTGTCATATTTGTTATCCATCTTGTTGTTTTTTCCTCGGCAACCCATGGAGGAGCAAGCTCTTCAATCGTATTCCATATTTCTTGTTCTCTATCTTTATGTTGCCAAACGTTCCAGTTAATCTTATTTCTTACATTCTTATATATACGCATTGAATTCCAAACGTACTTCATACTAGTATGTTTATTAATACTATTACAAAATTTAATAAAATCTTCTTTTTTCTTTCTATTAATGACTTTTCTAGCTAATGCGCGACCTTTTTTGAATTCAATAAAATCTTCCACTTTTCCTGTCCGTTTCCATATCTTTAGTTTTTTTTTCCTATTCTCTATTATCTCTGAGCATTCATTATCCCACCATTTAACAGGTTGTCTGAGCTTACACGCATTAATTCTATTATTTACATTAGAGTTATTATCTATACATTTGTCAATTTTTTTACCTGTTGCTAACATGGCTGCTTTTTTGATAATATCTATAAATATTTTATATTTCTCCTCCAAATTATCACAATCAATCGATCTGTCCTGGATTTTTTGTAAATCCTCCTCTACCTTGTTCTTAAAAAACCTCCAATCTGTGTTTTTGTTTGTAATTCTATTTGTTCTTTTTTTATATTGTGAAATAATAATATTAACACTAATCTCTATTGGATAATGATCAGATCCCCATGTATCTTTTATTTGTACATATTCTAGCTTTCCTATTAAATCTCTATTAGCAAATGCCAAATCAATATTAGAAGCAGACTGATTGTAGTAATTTAGACGTGATTTAGTATCATTATTTATACTAACGTAGCCTTTGTTAAACATTGTTAAGTATAAATTTTCTCCGTTTTTGTCTATCACAATTCCAAATAGTATGGTGGGAGTTGAAATCGCCCAAAATAATTGACTTGTCATCGACTCCTTTAAATTTTAATATATCCTGCCATGAAGTAATTGTTTCTAAACCATATGGTTTTCTATAGACCGCTATTAGATTGAAGTTGTTATTTGTATTTTTAATTTTAATACCGATAGCTTCTATGTTTGGGGAGGAGATGTTCCATTCTTCAATAACTTCGAAATCAATGTTATTTTTAACTAAAATCGCAACTCCACCACTATTAGTTGCATTATTAGATTTATATGTCTTAAATCCTGAAAAATATAAAATATTATTTCTGTTCAATTTAGTTTCAGTAATAACTACAATATCGTACGGAATAATATTGTTTTTTAATTCTGATTTCTTGTTTTTTATACCTCCTGCATTCCATAAAAGTATGGTAGACATTGGTTAGTCTTAATAGCTCTTATCTTCTTTTTTATTTCTATCTTCCCAATAGTTTCTTTTCATATTCTGTCTTACCATCTTAGCTTTGGTTAATTCCTCTTGATATTTCTCCATTTTCCTCTTTCTTACATATACTTCTCTGTTATTTTCTTCTTGTCGAATATCCTCTTCTTCATTATGAATTGGAAATCGGTCCAAAGGTATTCTATGTTTATGTAATAAATTTACAAAGTCTCTGTTAAAGTCTTCAGACTCTTTACATTTACCCTTCATAATTTGAGCTAAGAATTCGCTTCTTTTTTGTAAAGGCTCTTCAATTTTTTTTTGGAATTCTCTATAATAATTTAAGTACGCCTGTCTTCCTTCCTCAATTTTTTCTTTTTCTCTTCTGAATGCTTCTCGTTCTTTGGGTTTGTGTGTATAACCTTGTCCTTCTCTCGGAGGGCCATGTATAACCGTTGGATTTTCTTTTTCTTTTCTGAAATCATTCTTTACAATATTTTGTTTTAGCTTAGGCCATGCGTTTGGATTGGTGTACCTATCATATTTCGGAGTTATTTGTTCATAGTTCTTCCCAGTAATCAATCTTTCAGCCTCTGTGAATGAGATATTATTATATGCCATGATAACTTTTATTTCCTTATTTCTTAGAAAAACTGGACAATTTTTTGCGGTGGATCTATGATCTCCTCTGCAATTTCTACACGTGGTTAACCTGTTACATTCTCCGTGTGCGTTTTCTCCACAAATAATGCATCTAACCTCTCTCTTACAATGTGTTTTGATATGACCAAATATGAAACAGTTAAAACATTGAACCACTGGTTCTACATATGGTCTGATTCTTAGACTTATGTGTAAATTATTAAAAATTGTTATTCTATCCTTAATTTTATTCCCTTTCATAGTTATAATAAAATTATTCGTATTGACTACCTCGTATTTCTTATCAGTTTTATTCCAAATTCTTTTTTTCATTTTCTCTATTTTTAATATATCTTCCCTCTCAACTATATTTTCCCATAATTCTGGTATCTCGAACGGCTAGTCGACAATTACACCTCTACACATAACTAACATTTTATCTATAAAACCGGTAAGCCATTTATTTTCTACTTTGTCTATTTTGTCTAAACAATCATTAGCTTCTTTTGCATTTTTAAAACTTATTGTTGATAGATTAAATTTTAGCATTTCTATATTAATAGGGAATACCCCATTCTTAGTGCACCACAGTAAAATTTTTGTACAGTTCTTACCCCTATTTGACATAACATGATCTGTGTTAATTTTACAATTAATTTTACATACATTTGTAATTTTGCTATCATATCTCTGATTGTTTAAACGAAATATCTTGTCATAAATTTCTTTATCTATATCGCTAACTTTCTCAAGAATACCGTTAATCACGACAAAGCTATCTGCCTTTATGACCTTATTTATATTCGTTACTTGTTTGTTGATATTTTCCTGTTCCTTTCGGTTGGTTGTTTGTGTATCATCCTCTGCATTCCTTGTCCTAGTACTTGGTCCTTGGCTCGAATCTATAATCTCCTCCGTCAGCTCCATATCTGCATCTTTGTCTGGTTGATTCTCGCTTGATTGCGAACCTGTTTCCTTAATTGAACTGCTTGCTCTTAATTGTAATTTACTTGTTACGTTACTCTCCTCGTCATTCTCTGTCTCTATCATGTTCTCTATACTATCTAAAAACTCTCGGCTCCTTCCTCTTCCTTTCTCGTTCGTTTTGCCACTCTCCTTACGATATGGGTTGAATCTATTCCCCCGTCCGATCGGGAGAATTTCTGACATCGTCCAGCTGTTCCTTTTGTTCGGTCAACTTTATGATCCTCAAAACTGTGACAACTCAACTTCCCCGCGCTTGCTATAACCTCTTAAGGGTCGGCAGGCGACATGGTGGAGACGCCTATCGGCCGGCCGGGAATTACGGATTTGTTCATCCCATATATTAGCCAAAATACTTAATGAATCTTATTAAATTTACGATATTCTTAATCAGTAGGATTGTCCGCAGGGAGACAAAGATCGATTTTTTGGAAAAAAGATAAATATAAAATTCATAATATAACTTGGGGAGATGCGCAGCTAGCAGCGGGTAAGGTTGGGTTAGCCACGAGATCGTATTTAATTTATTATAAATTTTTAAGAGCAATAATGCAAAATTTGACTCTTTGTCTCCCTGCTTTATTATATAAAGAATATATTAAAAAATATTTCACGAAGTTACGTAACTTCTTTTTATGTAATATTTGGGATGAACAAATCTCACTAGATCTATACTCATGGGGAAATTTTCGTGGTAACACACTGACAGCTTGACAAGGAGAGAGTATCATTCTATCTTTGTCTCTCTTGCATTTGATATGTGTAAAATCAGTATAAACACAAAAACCAATATATTACGCACACGAATGAGAAATATTTTACATCTGTTCATTATATATAAAAATATAAAAGTAATGCAAATTAAATTTCACATTTATTTATAATTTAATAGTATTGTGAGGTAGTAACACATGGAAATCTTATAAGATGAATGCTGTACATCGATTAGCGTAATATTATGATTACAAGTCGCAATAAATGATTTTGCTAATATATTATTTTGAATAAAAATTTTATAAAAATAAATAAAAATGAAATAAATAAATTTTATTCAGTCTTTGTTTTTTTCTATTATTTTTTCTATTATTTGAATAAAAGGCGTATCGTATGTAATAGATACATAATAATTTATATATATATGTATATATATTGAAATTAATATATATACATATATATATATATATATATATATAAATTTCAAAACGTAATTATATATTTATATAAATTATCTATCTATTTAATTTATTACACACGATACATCTTTTATTCAAATAATAGAAAAATTAATTAATAGAAGAAGAAAACAAAGAATGAAGAAAATTTATTAATTTCATTTTTTTCGTTTTATATTTTTTTAATTTTTATTCAAAATAATATATTAGCAAAATCATTTATTGACTTGTAATCATATTATGCTAATCGATGTACAGCATTCATCTTATATGATTTTCATGTATTAACTACCTCATAATACTATTATAAATTAATGTAAAATTTAATTTCCATTACTTTTATATTTTTATATATGATGAGCAAATGTAAAATATTTCTTATCCGTGTGCGTAATATACAGGGTGTCCAATAACTAACGGACCAACGATTACAAATGGATTCTTTGGTCAATTTGGGAACGATTTTTCCTCAGCGAAAATATCGAAAAAGGTCATCAATTTTTACAACTTACCAATATTTGTCATTATGTATCTTTATAACTGAGTCTCAAATTAAAATTTTATTATAGTAAACTCTACCTGAAATTAACTGAAGAATGTAATTATGTTACTTTTAACTCCAAAACGTTTAGTTTTCAAAAAACCCATTTTTTTAAATCGCTTTATAACTCGAAAATTATTGACTTCTCAACTTTTTTGCTAAGGAAAAATCGTCTCCAAATTGGCCAGAGAATCCGCCCTTAATCATTGGTCCATTAGTTACCAGACACCCTGTTTATTAAAATATAATTATTATATAAATAATTAAATAAAAATATATATAATAAATAATTTATTATATTCATAAAAAAAATTTATGTAATAATTTTTTTCAGCATCGCAAGATCGGAGCAATAACATACTAGTCTATAAAAAAATATTTTAATTATTCTTTTTCAATTAATTTTTAAAACAAATTTTTTAAAATATTTTTATATATTCAAATACTTATTATATTATATAAAAATTATTGTGAATTATACTCATTGGAGTAATAATTATTGATTGAAGCCTGTTATGGCACAAACTGAACATCTTGTACATTGTCTGTATAATATTTTACTTATTTATAAAATGTATTTTATAAATAAATAAAATATTATATATATATAATATATATATAAGTTTATATATTTATATATATATACACAGATATGACAACCGTTATCTTGATTTTTACCGATTATTGATGTTACATTGTATAACTCTTATTTCTTTTTTTCTGCTACATAAGTACTTATGACGTGAAAGAACTTACGAGTAACGTATGATGGCTCAATGCGAGAATATTTAATCACGTAAAAAACTTGAGTTCAAATATATCAATATCAATTTTTTTATAATATATTATTGGAATATAGAAAATCATAGAAATATATTTTTTATATAGACGATAAACTTAAAAATTTGATATTGAAAATATTTTAATCATTTTACAACTACACATACTATAAATATATAAATGCAAAATAATTCCGTAAATAAATTTTAAGTAATAAATCAATTGCACACATGCACACAGCTGGTATGTAGATTTTTATTAAATTTATTTTTAAATTTGTTTTCTGAATTATTTTACACTTATATATAGTGTATGTAGTAAAAATATTTTCAATATATTAAAAAATTTTTAAATCGCCGAAATATATTTTTTTATCATTTTTCTATATTCTAATATATATATATATATATATATATATATATATATATATATATATATAAAATTGATATTGATATATTTGAACTCTAATTTATATACTGGATGATATACTGAACATCCTTGCATTGATTATACATTACTCAACGTTCTTTCACGTTATAAGTATTTGGAGCAAATTATACAATAGCATCAATAATCAAAAAGAAATCAGGAATAATCAACATATCCCTTATATAATATATATATATATATATATATATATATATATATATATATATATATATATATATATATATATATATATATATACGCACATATGTGCATAACCATATATACAATTTCCAAAAAGTGGGTGCTATTAGCTTTGCTACGCTATTATTGCCTTCTGCTACGGAAGGCCAGATAGCATTTTCAAGCCGCATCTCGCGTATACCGGCATGGTAGAGGAACAAGGAGAATACGTGATTATCGGTCCTTGTCTCTCTACGGTGCGTCCGCGTGAGCAATGCAATGGTGTATGTACGTGTACAAACATGCACCACTACATAAAACCCGAGAATTGATTTCTCGGCGTTGGCAACACTGAAATCGGAGTTTCGCGTTGTCACCGCGCGAGGTCTCCAACATCAATTCGGAGTTTGGCCGGCCGACCTGTCGATCATGAAGCTGTCGACCCTTAATTGCTGTAATAATTTACAATAATTTACAAGATTGTGGTATTTTTTTTCGATCCATCAGTTGAAAGAAAGTCGTAAACAAAAGGAATTCACAAAACAAGATGAATGCACCTCCGACCTTTGAATCATTCTTGTTATATGAAGGAGAAAAGAAGTTTGTTTATCTCTAACCTCGTTTGTGATAAAATACAATTAATCGAATTAGCTGATTTTATACATCTGTTTTTTTATAGGATAATAAAGGAACAAGATACAAAAGTGCCCAATGCTGCTATCTTTACAATCAACAAAGAGGATCATACTTTGGGAAACATGATTCGCAAGTAAGCATACCTGTTATTTGAATGTTACTTTCTCAGGTAACAAGCATATGGCATTTTGACGTCAAATGACGTTTTTAGACGTCAAAGTAACGTGGATTGACGTTTATAAGACGTCAAATAATATTATTAAACGTTAAATGATGTTATTAAATGTCAAAGTAATGTTGAATGATGTTATTAAATGTCAAAGTAATGTTGAATGATGTTATTAGTTGTCAAATGATTTTATTAGATGTCAAAATGACATTGATGTTATTAGATGTCAAATGACGTTATTAGACATAAAAGTGGCGTCGAATGACATGTGACATCAAAATGACGTCGAATGATATTAAACGTCAAATGATGTTATTAGACATCAAAGTGATGTCGATGATGTTATGTGAGATTGAATGATGTTATTAGAGTCAAATGATGTTATTAGACATCAAAGTGACATTGAATGACGTTTTATATGTCAAAATAACATTATGATGTCATTTTGACATCGAATGACATCAATTTGCTACTTGAGTCAGTTCTTCTTTTATATAATCAGTTGATAATTGTTTTTTATTCTACAGTCAATTACTAAAGGATCCTCAAGTATTATTTGCTGGCTACAAAGTTCCTCATCCGCTAGAACATAAGTTTGTTATTAGGATACAAACAACATCGGATTATACTCCACATGAAGCCTTTATGCATGCTATTACTGATTTAATTGCGGAACTTTCACTGTTTGAAGAACGTTTTAAGGTATATATTTTAATGCAGTTATATAATACAAAATATAAAAGGAATGTTTGCTTTGTGTATGTATTATTATGTATATGAATATAATTTATTTTTTTAGGAGGCGATTAAAGAGAAGAAGGAAGGTTTAGATTGAAATAAAAAAGGTGGAAGTTTTCTACAAACAGAAAATTTATCAAACTTTTTTCATCCAATACTTGATTCCTTAAATCCATATAATGCATCTATTAAATACATGACAAATACATTTTGTATAATAATTGTAAATAAATAATAATTGTACTAAGCATTTGTGTGTGTGTGTGTGTGTGAATTTAAAAGCTATGTTCATAACTATGAAAATTAATATCGTGAATTAATATATAATAACTGATGTTTAAGTTAAATTTGAGATTTTATGTATTACCACAGTGGTATTACATTACGTTATATATTTTTATTTCAAATATATGTAAAATTATATATTATTACATTGAGGTCGCATCTACAGAAATTAAATATGATTTTGGTTTATTGCTTACGATTTAATAAGGCTTATTTCTATAAATGTAAGGCTAACAAGCTATGAATATGGGCCTTAACATCGGCAGGAAATTGAAAATATTTATTTTCTTCTCTAGTAGTAAGTTGTAATGATAAATTGCAAAATGTGAGATATTTATTAGACAAAAAA